CAGATTCATTTCTTTCATCCCTTAGAGCAACCGTAAGTTACCTCTGCTTAATCCTTACTCCAGCCACCTCTACCTCCAAAGAGTTTGCTGTGCTGAGGGAAAGAGAAATTAGTTAAATGTGCCCACAGCTCCATGGGAAGACCTAAAATAGTGAACCATAGCAGAGGGTAGGTGACCTACAGATGGAACCAAAATGATGGCAGAAAAGAGAGACTCAAAAATAAAAATAAAAATAAAAAACATACATAGGGGCACCTGGGTGGCTCAATTGGTTAAGCATCCGACTCTTTGATTTCGGCTCGGGTCATGATCTCACAGTTTGTAGGTTCGAGCCCCACATCGGGCTCTGTGCTGACAGCCTGGAGCCTGCTTGGGATTCTCTCTCTCCCTCTCTCTCTGCCCCTCTCCTGCTCACTCTCTCTCTCTGTCTCTCAAAAATAAAGAAATAACATTAATTTTTTTAAAATATTAAAAAAAACATATATAACCCTCTTCCCAAATCATGTGTGGCTTGACAATAGTTCTAGCTTCTCTGGTGTCCAAGTGTCCAATATGCCAACAAATCCTAGATTTTTACTGTGGGAAAAAAAAAAAAGATTCTAAAAAGCAGGAAAGGGATGCATGTCTTAAATACATCCACAGAGTAGCAAATTAGGAAAGTTCTGGAGAAGAAAAAAAAAAAAAGGCAAAGCCTTCCTGGGTACAGCTGTCCTGAGCTGTGAGCTCAAGAGTAAAATTGCTGTAAAAATTAAGAGTGCAGAAGCCAGAGGAACTGGCAGCTGTAAGGAAAAGAGTATTCACCTGAAATGGTCCAAAAATAGAGACCAGGGTTGTGACCTGGTTAAGAGCAGAGATAATAGTAAACTAGAAGGGGAACTGGAGATAATTGTAAAAGTCTAATTCATGGTAAATAACACTGTGAGTCGCACTGAGTAATATGACTGAATTTGTAATTATTTCCTTGCTTTTGTATTCGTTAATTCATTATGTATTTGTTATATTTATATCAGCTGAATTTGAGTTCATGAAACAGAAAGCAGCTTCCCTTCAACATTCGGCCTTCAGATCCTCTGTTAACTATTTCTTCAACATTCTTGAGGTGAAATCTGAAGGGTCATGGTTCTTCGTATCACACAGACGATTGAAAGTAATCTGGTCACCTTTGATCATAAGAACAATCTCATTTTAGCAACTGAAATATCCAGTCCACTGTAATTATAAAAAGCTTCAAATCTGATCCCAGATGAAAGCTTTTCTGTTTCCCAGCCTTGCTCTTCAGTCTTCCTTTTGTCTCCCCCCACGCCCCTCACCCCACCCAGCTTTCACTGGATCACCCTTGCCTGCCTCCTCAGGGCTCACAATGGGTGGAGAGATCTGAAGCCAGAAAAACAAAAGGTCTTATGTGCGGAGCTGGCTGGTGCCCTCTGGATGAGGCAGATACCTAGCGCCAATCCTGTCCCATGAGGTCACATGCTGGATTTCCTTCTTGGCTGGGCATCTGGTGGCATTCCCACTCTGTCGCGATCAGTTTCCCCTACAGACGGTTCTCGTGCTGACTTCCTGTGTAGGGCCCACATCTGGCTCAGGACTAGTACCCACGCCTGCTGCCACCAGTGGGAAAGCAGCTCTCTCCCAAGTCTCTCTCCTTTTGTTCCACCCTTGTGGCAGGCCGTTCAAAGCACACACCTCTGCCTTTTGTTTCCTCAGAAAGGAATTACGCACCATTTTCTGGCCCTCAATAAAGTCCAGAGAATATCAGTCAAATTCTCTGGTCCCTTCATGCAGTGGGGCCCACGGGGTCCCTCAATTTGTCTTAAAGTGAGAGAGAAACACAGCATAGTGACCATTCCACCAATTATAGAGCTGCCTTCATTACTCTTCAATTTCCACCCTTTAAAAATTTTGAGGTGGACGATGTGCTGAGAACAAAACAGAATTTTAACTATGCTTTTTGCAAACCCTGCATAGGCCTTCTAGTATCTTGGTTTGGAATTGGGGCAAGGAGTGGAGGGGCCTGGCACCTGATGGTTTGACCTTCATAGCAGGGAATCTCAGCTGAAGCTAAATAAAATGGTTCTACTTTATCACGGGGTTACAATTAAGAAACATCTAGCTAGTGCTCATTTTATGCGAGGCTCTGTTCTAGGTGCTGGAGATTCAAAATGAAAAGACGAGGTCACCTGTCTTGAGGAGCTCACAGTGTAGGGAACATTGCCCTCTTCGCCACACTTTGTGTTCGAGTTTTAGGTGGTCTTTATTCTCCAAAGCACCTGAGTATTTCGTGGGCTGTGAGGTGGGAAAGGGACAAGCACAAGTGTGGGGAGATCGAGGGGGTGTGTTTCCATAAGGCTGGACCTGCCACATAGAGTTTCTCATCCCCCATGAGAAATGCCAAAATCAGGAGGTGAGAAGAGCCAAGAGTTGGAAGTCAGGGTCCAGGAAGCCTCAAAGGACATCTACTGGGTTGCAGAAGAGTAGGGACCAGAGACCAATATCAAGGCTGGGTTCTAAGAACTACAGGAAAATTGAACAAAAATACCCAGTTGAGAGTAAATGGGCAAAGATCAAGAGAAGTTGCCTAGATGAGGAAACTGTGGCTTGCCTTCACTTGTTGGAAAAAGCATGGTACCAGAGTGGGTCGGCAAAGTTAAGGGCCAGCTATGGCCACGGGGCTGAGTGCCGCAGGAGGAACTCTGTATAGGTCGGGAAGAGCTCCTGAGCCCAGGTGGTTGTTGCCTGAAGCCTATAGAGAGAGGTCACGGGCTGAGCACCCCAATAGGGAAGCAGCTTAAGAAGATGCCGAAGCTCAAATGCTACTGGTGAGATTCCTGCTTTCCTCTTGGGTTACTTTAATTAAATTCTGTCCTTTCTTCAGAGCTCACCTAAGTCATATCTTTTCTAGAGCCTCACTGAGATGTCTGTTTCCTCTGAATTTTAAGAGGAGTTAGGAAATTAGCAACATGTTGCTCTGCATTGTCAATTCATCTTTGTAGACACACCCTATCCTTTGACTTAGTGAAGCACAGGACCCAAAATAGCCTGCTTGGCGCCTGTCCTACAGCCCGGCAGCTATACCCATGTCACTCACACTGGCAGGCTAAGCTCTGCCATGGCTTGGGACACCAATTCTCATATTGATGGCCTTACCGCAGACATTTACCTTGTGTCATTTTTGCTGCTGGTGACTTTTGTGTCCCAAACCCCCAGTGTCTTGCTGACTCTTCATATTTTTGCCTCATATATCAGTCTTTCAGAGGGTCGAGGTCATGCTCAAATAATAGCTGAAGCATAAGGCACATGTAACTGGTATATGAGAAAAAATGACCCATGTAATCAGACATTTCTGGGAGGAAGAGGCTCCTTCCTCCCCTGACCGGGGATGCTATAGTAGAAGGAACTCTGGGGGAGGAAGGCTGTGGAGCTTTCTGGTAAAGGAGGCAGGGGGGTGAGCTGAGCCAGGGAAGGTCTGGGTTGCTTCTCACTCATCCTCTCCATCACCTACCACCTGTAGCTCTTTATTTTCTTGTCATAGGGTAATAAAATGAGTTTGCAAATCTTTCACTATCATAAACTATAGAGAACAAAAACAGAAAACACTCCATTAACTCAATTGGAAATAATCATTCTCTGATATCCAAACCATATGTTCACATTTCAGTACTTACAGATGTATAAATAAAAATTAAAAATTTATGTCCCTTAAATCTATATTATATAGTCATATAGTCTAATAATCATGTCAATGGCAATTAAAATCAATTTTCTATATTATACCCATTTTATTTAATGCTTAGGAAGCAAGACTGTCCTGTGACTTTGATCTAAATATCTTCACAAGTCTGAAAGTAATTACAATATTTTTTTTACGTTATACTGTTAAAAGTCTGATTTATTTTCTAGTCTTATTTATTTTTTATTTATTTTTTTCTTTTTTTAAAATTTACATTTTACTTTGTTAATATATAGTGCAATATTGGTTTCAGGAGTAGAAATCAGTGCCCTAAAAAAATTTTTTTTAATGTTTATTTATTTTTGAGGAGGAGGGGAAAAGAGAGAAAGGGGACAGAGGATCCCACATGGGCTCTGGTTGACAGCAGAGACCCAGATGCAGGGCTCAAATTCAGGAACCGTGAGATCATGACCTCAGCTGAAGTCAGACGCACAATCCACTGAGCCACCCAGGTGTCCCTACCATCTTATCTAAAAAGATCACCTTCTCGCGTTATCTAAAAAGATCAACTGGTTAAACAAAAACAAGAGTGACCCACTCTGGGACAAGAATACTAGTCATTATTCTTTGGTACAAGGTGTGGAGGTCCCTTCAGGCAGCAGATATGTCATGCCGTGAATGGAACCTATAAAATCTAGAACCGAAGGAATGATGTTCCAGGCTGGAAAAGGTAAAACACTCTGAAAAATCAATGAAAAGCATGTCTGAGTGCTTCCCCTATGAACTGCTCTTTATAAACTATTGTTAACAAATTCAAGAGAAAAAGAAGACTTAATCCCCATGTTTGATAATTTTATAAAAGGTAGGAGAATTGCCGAGTGTAAGTTCACGTCCAAAATCAGAACCAAAAAGCATTCCCTGGGTTGCTTTGCCCTCCATCACCACCAGAATGACTGACAGGGATTACTGCTGCAAGATTTGTTCTACCAGCAGCTCTGGGTTTTGACAGAACTTGAGTTTGGCTACCCTGTGTCCTTGTCCACTTGCCTTAGTATGTTAGAACAAGTCGAGGATTCCAAGGGCACCAGTTCTATGCTTTTTTGCAGCTCAGGCCTTGTTCTATTCTACAACGACAGATGGCACTTGTGTATCCAGCCATTCCATAAATTCACATCATTTGTCACAAAGCAGAAACAAGAGGATAAAGACGGATCAATGCAAATCAGCATTATTGGAAATATAACTCAAGAACACATTTGCTCATGCCAAGAATGCTGTGCTCAAGTATGAGGAGGGTGTTGTTTTTCCTGGCCCAAGAAGAGAGATTTTCTGGTTTAGCCCCTTTAGAGAATAACCCAGGCTAAACCAGACAGCTTTAGCTTGGTGAACATCATGCTGGTGTCTAGGAAATCCCATCTATCACCACAACGCAAGAATTCTTTTCATCTTGTATACTGGCCCAGGAAGAAAACAGTTGCATATGTATCACTGAAAAGCGGTGCCCCTTTTATACCTGTAGAGGAGTATATATGGTATTTTCAGGTGCAGTTTCACAAGCCTAGTCACTGTTTCTGTATTTCTTTTCCATGACACATTAATTTTGTCCGGAAGCACTTGAATTCTCTTAATCACTCAGCAGGTTACCTTCTAAGCGTGTGTGTTTATGTTTATGGCCAGAAAAAGCAGATTTTTACCCCTCTCAATGACTAGAAAACATCACAGTCCGGGTTACAGTAAAAATACCAGAAAATGTCCCTGACTTAGGAAGAATGTATTACTTTATTCTATTTTAAGGCAAATGGCTGTATCTTACGAAATGGAAAGCAATTAGATATATTTGAACATTGTTATTACTTGCTTTAGGTAAGGAATGCCAGATCAAACAATTTTTACCATTGGCAAAACAAAAACCACAACTATAAAGTCTTCAAAATGAGCGGGTCAGATGTCACCAGTTTTGCCTTTCAACATTCACTGCATTTACCAAAGTCTTCGCTCTTTGAAAGGTGTGCAATTTATGTTTAAATCAGATTGAATGTTTTGTTTTGTTTTGTTTGCTACTCAGAACATCACTGTACATCAATGTTGCAAAAGCAGTGTCCTTATAGCAAGGTAAGTGTGCAGAGTACATGCAGGATTGATTCAGAGGCCAAGCGCACCCCCACATTACTTTAACACGTAATTCAGAAACATTTCTTACAAATATTAACATGTGTAGGAAGTTATTATGGGTGGGGCAGAATTATTTACAAATAACTCTTAGCTGGACTTCACAAATTATGGAACAGGGAGTGTTTTGGTAAAGATGCCCAGGACAGCTCAGGAAATCAGCTGGGAGGACAGACCACACGTTCTCAATTTGGGGTCAGTGTTTGCTTATCACTCATCATGAACATCTCCAACCTGAATTGAGTTAGAAGTTGTAGGAACCCCTCAGTGGAACCTTAGAGCAGCATTCACCCACTATGTGTGGGGAGCCTCTTGGCAGGATGCTAGAGAAAAATCCTCAAACACCCTATGATATTCTGGAAAGAACCCAGCCGACTGTAAAGTGACTGTCTTCTGAAAAGCCTTTATTGTGTAATATCCTAGAGTATTGCTGTTGTAAGAGGCCTTAGTTGCACTGCTCCACTAGACAGTTTTTCAGGATAGGCCAGTTCTGGCATCATGTGGACGAGCCCATATAAACTTGATTCTGTTGTAGGAATTCTTTCCTCAAGTATTTTGCTTTACATGTAGAGGGAAAAAAAAAAACACAGAAACTGAGTTTCTCATGATTATATAGACATCCCTATAAAGCACTAGTCTAATTCACACTTTATTAATCAGAAAATTAAAATGCAGAGAGGCCCCAAACACCCTGTGATATGCTTTGCTTCTTCACTCTTGTTTTTCCTTAAGCCAAGTTGTGTTTGACTATGCATTCTTTGCTCAGTGTTCATGCCCAGTGGCTCCAAGCCAAGCAGGTTGGAGGTATGGCTGGGAAATCATTACACAGATTGAAGAGACTCCTATCGCCTTCGGATGTGAAGGATGCTGTGCTCATCTGGCCATGCCATCATGTTTGGTCTGACATGGCGGAATGAAGGTAGTCATCGAGTTTTGCATTTATTTAGCCACATCATTGTATTCTGGCTAATTAAGAAGAGAAGTCAAATCTTAATATCTCCTAATATGCACTGGTAGAAACAGTTTTATGAGTATGGATTACGAACCCAATCTTCTGAGTCTCACATAAGCCACCTTTCAGCTAACTTCCATTTAAATTTTGCTGGCATAAAAAAATTACAGGATAGGGTCCTGAGTAAACAAAATGTAGAAATTGTGCTTTGTTTAATTATTCCAAAGCCTTTTGTCTCTTACTTGTAAGGTACAATAAGGCAAAGGCTCTTGGCAGATGCCTAAGAGTTTTATAACTGATGTTGAGATCAGCTGAAACAAAGACACATTGTTGAGCTTCAGCTTCAGATGCTGGCCTGGCTTTTCAGAAGTAAACCATAAGTGTTTGCTCTTGGATATGGATAAGAGTTTTTCAAAAAATCCATTTGCCAATGCTTATGCAAGGCACTACCACATATTACGAAACATTTGCTTGCCTAACACATAAGAAACAAATTTAAAACACAATAGCAGCATGTGGCTGGGAAGAGAGGCAACCTTATGGAGAGGGTATTCCTGGGAAACAGGGATATTTGCTAAAACCCTGATTAAGAATAAGAATTTGAAGATGAAGAATTGAATTAATAAGTGTCTCTAAAAAGGCAACAAGACGATTACCAGTAATGATGGCAGCAACGTAGTGGCCCGTGTGTGGGTTTTGGAGTCCGTAGACAGCTCTGCCTTTTGTTGCTTGAACAAGTTGCTTAAAGTTTCTAAATATCACTTTTCTTTTAAAGTGGGACTATTGGGGCGCCTGGGTGGCGCAGTCGGTTAAGCGTCCGACTTCAACCAGGTCACGATCTCACAGTCCGTGAGTTCGAGCCCCGCGTCGGGCTCTGGGCTGACGGCTCAGAGCCTGGAGCCTGTTTCCGATTCTGTGTCTCCCTCTCTCTCTGCCCCTCGCCCGTTCATGCTCTGTCTCTCTCTGTCCCAAAAATAAATAAACGTTGGAAAAAAAAATTTAATAAAAAATAAATAAATAAATAAATAAATAAATAAATAAATAAAGTGGGACTATCTACCTGCCTCGAAGGCTGTTTTGAGGGTCAAATGAGATTACATTCTGAAAGTGCTTTGTCAACTGTAAAGTTCTACCCCAATGAGAACACTGATGAAATAATAATAATCATTATCACAGTAACAATACCAACTAACATTTAAACACTTGCCCTGTGCCAGACACTAACCTAAGAGCTTTACAGGCATTATGTCATTGGGTGGCATACTATTTTTATCCTCCTCATTTTCCAGAATAGGAAACTGTGAAGATTAGCTAGGTTGAATAGCTTCACCAAAGTCTATCTCGCACCTACATTTGTGCTTTAACTTCCACACTGTATTGCCTTCCTTATTTTAACCATCGTGAACGCTATCTGAATTCATTTAGGGGCGATTGTATGTTTTCATGTATTACATAAAAGCAATCTTTCTTGTCTAATACTTCATTGACTAGCCCAATCACTAGCTTAATACATGTTGTCTATATGCAGCACATTCACAAAGGTATAAATACATAATTAACAAAATAGAAAATTAGCATTATTATTCTAGAGTGGCAGAACTTACAAAAGGAAGGGTGTAGAACATTTAAAAAGCAGCATGAAAACTAATGCAAAATTATATAGGCTCAATTGTAGATAATTAAGTCCCGAAGAATGGAAAAAGAAAAAAATTCTTGCAAACATATGACCCTACTAGCACCTTATTTTTATGATCAGTTGTCCATTTCTAAAATTCTTTTCTTTATAATTAAAGGCCTAAGCCCTGAAATAATAGTCCTATGAGTTGGTCTCCAAGCCTATGAGGATTCTAGAATGGCACTGCCCAATATGGTAGCCACTAGCTACATGTGTAATGGACTGAGCCACCCGGGTGCCCCAAAGTTACATATGTAATCATATCAGGGGATTTTGCACGGATATTTAGGGTGATAGCTACTGGAAAGAGGTAGAGTATATTGTGAATCAATAGGAGAGAAGATGAAGGCATCAAGTTTGGACAATTACTTTAACCCTAATCTTTTAGGCTCTCTGCTCAGTAAAGCACAGGACTTGGCAGTGACATGTTCACCTTTGCATTTTAGTCCCATAGAGGTGAGAAATGGGTGAGGGAAAGTGAGCAAATAGCTCTGGCCACAGCCATCAGAGTTGTTTACAGAGGGCTTTTTAGGCAGATGAAATGGCCCAAGCAAAGGCACCAAATCTTGAAAAAGCCTTGTGACCTGGTTATGGTGTAAGGTGATTTCAGAATGGTAGAATCCCAAGATGAGACAATAGCAGAAACAGGTGTTGAAGGTTAAAACCAGGCTCAAATTTTAATGGATCTGTGTTCCCTGAAATGTTTTAACATTATCTGTTAGGCCACAGGGAGCCATCAGGAGTCTTAAAGATGTGGATGACATGACTGGCATAGCTTCATTTTTCAGGAAGGTACTATGACAGAGGTGAGGAGGGTGTCTTCAGTCACAGGTTGAGAAACAAGTTCTGGATTTTCTTGTGGTAATGTTATTGAGCTCTAACCTCCAAATCATAATACCTCATAGTTCCAAATGAGAATGACTTTCAAAATATCTGATTTTTTGACATTAAACAATAATGACACTAAAAGGACACATTAAGTGCTTTGTTAAATATGTGCTGGTAAAATGGATTATTAGCATGGCCTGAGAACTTCAGTCATCTACTGAATAAAAAAAAAAAAATTGGAAAGCAGCTTAAGTCCATTCTTGGTTAATATATTTATAATACTTATAATGCTACTAATTGGCTTTATAAGATTACAGAATGAGGGGCGCCTGGGTGGCGCAGTCGGTTAAGCGTCCGACTTCAGCCAGGTCACGATCTCGCGGTCCGTGAGTTCGAGCCCCGCGTCGGGCTCTGGGCTGATGGCTCGGAGCCTGGAGCCTGTTTCCGATTCTGTGTCTCCCTCTCTCTCTGCCCCTCCCCCGTTCATGCTCTGTCTCTCTCTATCCCAAAAATAAATAAACGTTGAAAAAAAATTAAAAAAAAAAAGATTACAGAATGAAAGAATTGAAATGATGGACAGTTATCAGGCTGGAAATAAAATGGGAAGATGGATGAAATATGAAATATGAGAGATAAGCCAGGGCATCCTCACTGTGCCAGCGGTGTTTTGTTCGTTTTGGAAAAAGATTTGGTAAAATGAGTGACAGACTCTTCTCTCATTTTTTCCCATTCTACTAATTTGGTCCTGAGGTAAATAAGTGAGGGTATGCTGCAAACCACTTTTCCCCTGATGAAGTCTCAGCCTGGATCTGTGCCTTGTGGGTTGTGAACCAATGTGTCTGGGCCAGGAGATGGCTCCAGTCCCATAACTAGGAGTAAGCTAGCACTCTTCATAACCATTATGAGATTGGATGCCCTGACTTAATCATGGAGAAAGAGATACTTCTGTTCAGGACTACAACATTTACTATGAAGTACATAACAGCATCAAAAAAATCAATCTGACATTTTCCCAAAGGTTTGGATGAATTGCCTTCTCAAAGAAGGAGCAGGGAGCAGCCTCTGGGGCATCTCTAATGCTTCCCCTCATGTCTCCTCATCCACCTGACTGGCCTTAGTACAGACAGACTGACCCCGCCAGCCTCCCTGAAAGGCACTCTCAGACTGCATCTGTGCTTCAGAAGTGTTTCATGCGTCAGTATAAGTGTTTTCTTATTCTGTTCCATTTTAGGTATGTGATTAATTTTAGTTTTATGTATATGCCACTTAAAGACTAATTATATTTAATGACTGTCTCAGAAACTATTGAAAATTTTTAAAAAGGGGACATCTGCTTTTACCATGCTGAGGTAAACTGGTACTACATTTATAATCCCATTGTAAACAATAGAAAATTGGGCAAAATGTACAAAATCATTGTTTCAGACATTATAAAAGAGAGAGCATAAAACTATGATCCCTGAGAGAAGGTAACTAGATAAGGGGAGCCCTACAATTTCCTAGGCTTTCTGCCTGGGAGTACTGTCTGAATTGAGGCACAGAGGGAGAACCCCTGCAAAACACAACAGTCATATTTAAATCAAGAAGACAAAGAGGAGAATTCAGGGAAGCTGAAATGACTAGAATTTACAGAACAGAGAATCAGAGAGAAGGGAACTATGCAGATAAAAACCTACAGAAATCTGCATGGGATTGCCTTGAGTCTGTGCAAAATACTAAACTGGGATGCACAGGAAGAAACTCCATGGGGCCATAAACGAACAACTAGGGAGCTGTAAGCATGAGTGACAATTCTCCATTGTTTGCTCACATTTCCCCATACCTTGCAACCAGAGGTACTGACTACATTTACTCTAGACCTTCCCCCCCCCCCCAGAGATGTTTATATAGCAAATAGCCTTCAAGGATAGAGCTACTGTCTCTCTCAGGAGCAAAGGGTAGAAAAACTTACTTCCCATTATAAAAGATTCGGGTTCTGTAACTCAGGGTTCGTCTCCTTTACCACACTGTACTTCATGTGCAGATATTGCCCTGTAAAAACTAGCACTCAGGAAGGTAGTGCGAATATTGACACTCCAGCACCTACTCCTATGATGAGTCATAAAGTTCTTTGTCCCTGACCCAGAAATCATGTCTTCTGTTGACATCCTTGAAACTATGGCTGGCTAACTTGTTAGCGTGCAAGTAGGGTAAGACCTCAGACCTTTCATAGATTTGGACCGTTTGGTGATAAGCAAACACAGCAAACTGTTGGCCAAATTGCATGGTCAATGGGGCAAAATAATGATTCTCCCCTTTATTGGCTTTTATTGAATAGGATTTAGGAGGTGGTTACAGGCTGAGTATCAGAAAATTGACTGAAGACAACTCCCTTGATTGTTGTTGACTCTCCTTTGACGAGGAGGGATGCTGTTCCTCAACCAATTTTGCAGTCACCCTCAGGTCAGTTCTGTTGTAACAGTTAGTAATAATATTCATCCTGGGAGAATTTGATATCCATATGGAAAAAATTAACCTTGAAATGACTTTACAATGTTCACAAAATTGATTTAAAAAACAGCTAAAGCTATAAAACTTTTAAGAAGGCAAGATAAAATAAAATCAAGATTTTGAGGGTAGGAAAAGGATATTTAGGATACAGAAATATAAACTAGGTGAAAATTAATTGAATTTCATAATCAAAAGTAAGTTCCTCTATTCTCTGAAACACATTGTTAAGAAAATTAAAACCAATCCATCAAGTGGAAAAATATTTACAATAAATATATCTGAAGATTTATATCCAGAATATATAAAGAACTACTCATCTCACTAATTAAAAAGACAAGAATCCAATTTAAAATGGACAAATGATTTGAACAAGCACTTCACAAAAGAAGGCATGCAAATAGTCACTAAGCACTTTTAAAAGATGCTCAATATCATTAGCACCAGGAAAATGCAAATGAAAATCACAAGGAAATACTATACTGCACATAAGTATTAGTCATGATGTGCAGCAATTAAAACTCTTACACATTGCTGGAGAGGACGTAAAGTAGCACAAGCACTTTAGAAAGTACTCTGGCAGTTTTCTTATGCACTTAACCATATAACTCAGCAATTCCATTCCTTGGTATTTACCCAAGAGAAATGAAAACATATGTCTTTGCAAAGACTTTTATATGAATGCTCACAATGGGTTTATTCATAATAGTCCCAAACTAGAAACTCAAAAGTCCATTGAGGGGTGAATGGATAAACAAGTTGTAGTATATCCACAGAAGGAAA